TATTGTAGAATATTGTATTATGTCGAATTAAACTTACTCAAGCACTATTGTAGAATATTGTATTATGTCGAATTAAACTTACTCAAGCACTATTGTAGAATATATGTTTATGTCGAATTAAACTTACTCAAGCACTATTGTAGAATATTGTATTATGTCGAATTAAACTTACTCAAGCACTATTGTAGAATATTGTATTATGTCGAATTAAACTTACTCAAGCACTATTGTAGAATATATGTTTATGTCGAATTAAACTTACTCAAGCACTATTGTAGAATATATGTTTATGTCGAATTAAACTTACTCAAGCACTATTGTAGAATATTATATTATGTCGAATTAAACTTACTTGAATAAGTTTCACTGACTTTTGATACGTATTTTTGTATATATTACAATTGTATATATTACAATTTTCATACTCTACTATTTCATCATGTATATTGATAACGATAATTCTAGTACTTTATATGATTTGTTGAGTTTTCAAAAGAACTCTGTCAATGGTTACATCTAGGCGATGGTTGCCATTCGGATGAACCATTTTTGTTTGCTTGTTTCTTTGTGCACTTACGGTATGTATAGTTCACGAGCTGCAAGGACATAAACAACACGAAGGTTGTAGCAGGAACACGGGGAGTGGGGTGCGAGGGGTGATGTTGCACCCTCCAGTCGTTAAAGATGCGATATGTACATTATACGAGACCTTCGGGTTTTGTGACATCCAATTCAAGATCGTTCCCGCGTTTATGGGCGTTAGTTTCGGAAGTCAACATAAGTTGTAATGGTGTTTATTCTACACACCACTAGTCGTTAAACCTCACATGTCCCGAAGATATCTTGAAAGTACTGTTTACTCTGCCGCCTTTTCTTTCCTCTTCATGTACAAGGAAAGAAATACCATCCAATCGATGCGTTACTATCGCGATATGGTCTGTGAAAACAGCTGAGAACCACATGCACACAGAGTTTTGCTGGAATATAACAAGCGTGCAGGTGGAGAAAACAACCATCGTTTATCTTAACGTTGCACTATACGTCTTTTGAAGTCGGTCGTCAATGGGAATAAACTACTTAGTCAAATCCACATGAACATTACGTAGGTGTCTCAATCTTTTGAAGTCTGTCGTCAATCGGAATAAACTACTTTGTCAAATCCACATGAACATTACGTAGGTGTCTCAATCTTTTGAAGTCTGTCGTCAATCGGAATAAACTACTTTGTCAAATCCACATGAACATTACGTAGGTGTCTCAATCTTTTGAAGTCTGTCGTCAATCGGAATAAACTACTTTGTCAAATCCACATGAACATTACGTAGGTGTCTCAATCTTTTGAAGTCTGTCGTCAATCGGAATAAACTACTTAGTCAAATCCACGTGAACATTACTTAGGTGTCTCAAGCAACATTCGTTCAACCTTAACTGAAAGATAGAGATTTAATTTTCTGCAGATCTGACAGAATCTCATATTCCATGATCTCACACTTTCGAAAACAAAACTTGGAAATAACTGAAACATCTTGGAAATTCGACAACAACTTTAAAGGATCCCTTTCGAACTTTACATCTGGAATATGCAAATTTTCGAAAAAGATATGAATAGATCGCGTTTATGCATAATTTTCTTCGTACTTAACGGTGAGCAATATATAGACTGGGGGACACATATAGAAATTTTGGAAGGGTAGGAGTCACCTTCAGCTAAGGCAGCTTTACTAGCCGCAGCATAGCGGCTCACAGAATGGCTCCGAGTTTGTTTTGTTTTTTTTATCAAGTACAAACTTTTAGCTCATAGCTCCGTCATCTCTTGACCGATATGAGATCTAATTACAGTTTTGGACTCAAGAGGTCAAACCCTTTCGATTGATGTTTTTGACCACGTCCAAGGTCTCATACATTAATTTACTCTAATCCTGCCTAAAACAATTTCAATTTGAAGGTAGGCTGGTAGAGATCCTGATGAGTAATAAAATAGAAACGGGTATACGCGCGCCCCACGCTTGATATTGCTGGCACACAAAAATATGGCCTCTAAAATGCAAAAAAATATATAAATATATCACAGATTAATTTATTTTAATCCTGTCTAAGCGAATTTCAAATGCCACGGCTATTGAGGATTCTCTCTTGTTTTCTAACAGAATGTCTAGTCTTTGGAATGAGGTGCCTTCAGATGTGGTAGAAGTAGTTAATCTATGGGAATCTAAAGGAAAACTTGATAAGTATTTGAATAATAAGGGCTGGTTTTGAGTGCTGTATCTTTATTTCAGACTTTAATATAGCAGGTGGGACGGTCTAGATGGGCCAGTAAGTACCTAATTGTTCTTAAGTTACACGTATACATATATTATTTTTGTATTTTTTCGGATTTGAATCTATTAAACGTTTCTTAAGATTTCTGTGGTGCAGAGTCGAAAACTGACTGTATAGTGTTTCTTATCAGGGGAATGAGTTGGGTCTCGAATTTATGAATTTTGATATTTTACATATGAATATCATAATGTCAAAAGAAGCGTTTAAAGTGCAGAACAGGCTTCACGTATTAAGGACAGTTTACATTTCAATGATGCTCTTATAATAAAAAAAAAAGTGTACAATAACATAATAATTTTGGGGTAAAGTTACGATACATAGTGTTGATATACATGAACATTCAGCAATGTTTTATTATACAAAAGCTGTGCACCTGGGCACATTTTGATCCATATTAGGTTATAAGACACAACTGATTCATCGATCCTACTCCGAGGTAACAATGTTGGATTGATTTCGTTTGTTTTGGATTTCGCACAAAGCTACACGAAGGCTATCTGCGCTAGCCGTTCAGTAGCAATGAAAGACTAGAAGGAATGCAGCTAGTTATCATCACCCACCGCCAACTCTTGGGCTACTCTTTTACCAACGAATAGTGGGATTGACCGTTACATCATAACGCTCCCACGGTTGAAAGGGCGAGCATGTTTGGTGTGTCGGGGATTCGAACCCGAGACCCTCAGATCGCGAGTCAAGCACCGAAACCACCTGGTCATGCCGGGCCTAACAACGTTGGATCCAGACTTCTACCGTGAGAAACATAAAGTGGACGC